TTTCACATCAAAATTTTATATCGTTTAACCACAATTATATATATATATATATATATATATATAGATACAAAAACAGAGCGAGAAAATAAAGGGCTATCGTGCAGTGGCACTGCTGAGGAAAACGTATAACCTAAAAATGCGATGCACCATTTCTCTTGTCCCACAAGTCCCACTTCTATATCTGTATTCACTTTTCCAAATTGAAGAACCTATTCCAATTAAGCCAAAGTTCACATGTATGTGTGCAAAAACTGTAAGAGTGTGCATATGTGGGTGAGTGGCTGGGTGAGTTAAATTGCATGTGTGTGTATGTTCGTGTGTCAGTGTGTGTGAGAGCAGGCAGGGGAAGGGAAAGAACGGTGAGGAAGGGTATGAGGTGTGTGTTTATGTGTTGTGTGCAGAGAATGGGCTTGTGTGTGTCGGAATGGATGGCTGAGAGAGACCAACCTTAGAGACAGTTGCCGGAATTCACCAGAGTTGGAACTCCGCCATCGGAGAGGGAAAAAGGCGGAGAGAAATAGGTGAAATAGGGGGATGAGGGAGAGAGAGACGATATAAGAGAGAGGCTGGAACATTGGGTGGGAGACAGAAGGGTTTCTTGTAAGAAAAGATTTTGATATAAGATTTCTTTCAGATGAAAGGGTCTAGAAAAAGGTGTGGGACCAAATAATAAAAAGTGGCTTTTCGTATAGATTCAATATCTCTCTTAAAATTATTTATATTGTACTGTATTTCAACCACGAATTACCTCTAATATGAACTAAACGAGAGAGAATGTGAGCAGCCCGCTAGATGAACAGTTTGAGGATGAAACGAGCAAGTGACAAGAACATCCGCACTTTTATAATATAGGATATACTGCTTTGATTACCTGTGGAATCCAAATAACATGACAGTTGATTATTTAAAGTTTTTATTGGGATTCAAATGACATCACACCAATTAAAGAAGTTCAAGTCAACTGCCATGTCATTTGAACTCTAAATTTGATTCTAAAATTTGATCAGTCTAGCATTACTGAATGTGCATTGTCCCAATCCACAAACACCACCAACATTCTACCAAGATATACAACCTACAACCTTCAACAGGAATCATACCATTCCAATTACTAAACTTGCTTAACTGCTAGCGATTGTTGAAAAACTGTTTAAGAGTACAATTTTCAACAAGTCCATTAGTAAACACAAGTAAGTCATCTTTGCATACTTAAAACCAAAAAAGTCATAAAGTAAACACCTTGTTATTCATTACCCTATCTAACAAAATGTTTTTGGCACCACACCTTCTCATTTCAGCAATTGTTAATCTAAATGTGAAAATTGCAGGAAAATGCAAGATATGATTAAAATCGAAGTCGGAGGTCGGGTGTGTCATGTCCAACACCATCGGAATCGGAACCCAACCCTATCTATCTTAAATATAAACTCAAAATATACATATTTTTTCTTAGCTATATGGATAAATAAGTATTACAATGAAAAATAAATTATTAAAATTGATGATACATCAAACAAGTCCTAGTTGTGAGCTCAGGTCAGGAGGTCAGGAAAGACATGAAAAACTTAGAGAACCAGGGGTGGAGCTCCTCTTGGGGAGATCGTAGCTGAACCGACCAGGAAACAACTGGATGACTACGGAAATTGGGCCCCATACATGAAACTCTCAACCAACCAAGATTCTCTCTTAAAATTAAGGAGGATCCCATGAATAATGGGCAAAGATCTCGGCTGAAATCCCACGGAATAGGAGGCAGCCTTATAAATACTATGTAACACCTCATCGAGAGAGGGAGAAAAAAAGAAGAACCCTAATCGGATTGTGCACTGTCTTGTATTACATTCAAATAATCAATAGAGAAGAAAATGAGCAAGAGCCTTCATTTGAGAGTGGATTAGCCGAGCTCTAGAGCCGGTGAACCACTATATTCCAACTGTGTAAATTCCCCTATCACCTAAGAAACACTTCATCACTGTCATTACAAAGTTGACAACCTAACTTCACCATTGATCCCACACACTCTATTCACTCACATCAGTTTGGCATCATAAAAAATAAAGGGTTAATTGTACTGGAAGTCTCAAAGATATGTGATTTGTCTTATTTTGGTCCTTAATATTTAAATTTCATCATTTGAAGTATTGAATATATTTCTATTTAGTCATTAAACAGACAACGTATATATTGCTAACGATTTTTTTTATAAACTTGTTATGTAATACATAAATATGGGAAAAAAAAATAATTTGAATAACTTTTGACCAAATTTTTGTGAAAAAACTACCCAAATTTCACAGTTTTGATTATAAACTATCCAAATTTTAGTTAAAAGCTACACATATTATACTTTTTTAGTCAAGAGCTACTCAAATTTTTTTTTGCCTATATTTAGTTATCATGTGACAAATTTATGATAAAAAATTGTTAATAATTTGAATATTGTTTACTTGATAGACCACATAGAAATATATTCAATATTTTATGAACAAAATAATGTAATTAAAATATTTATAACCAAAATGAAACAAAATCTATATTTTAAGGATCTTTGATGCAAGTCATCCTAAACTAAACAATATATAAAAAAACCTACAGATGGGCGAACCAAAAAGAGACGCATTGAGAAATCGATTTGTGCCCAACAACAAGATCAACTCTCAGCCCTTGGATTAGTGAGAATGCATGATCATCAATTAGGCGAGTCCAACTGGTTGCTTCACAGATGTATACGTAATATTTCCCATCTGTTTCTTAGTCGCCGACTACGATTGAGATGGTTGTTACGACAGTTGGTTATGGTAATTTTATTCACGTACTCTCTCTCTCTCTCTCCTCCGTTAGTATGGTTACGTCATACACTTAAATTTTTATAGCACTTAAATCAGACGTGTTTGTAAAATTGGAGTGAATGATAGAAACGAACAAGATTAAAGAGTTTGACCCAAACTCTTGTTAGTATATTATTAGTTTTTTTATAGGGTTTAGTTATTGGTCCATGTAATATCCTAGATAGTTAGAATTAGTTAATTAGTTAAAAGTCCGTTATTTATAGTGGAAGATTTCTTGGGTTTTAATATATAGAGTTAGAAACATCTTTGTGAAGCAGCCTTTTCCACTTTGCTTCAATCTCTTTAGATTTTGCTCTGTTCTGTTTTTCATTCAATCTATACTCGACTGTTAATCTGTTGATACACGTACGCAGCTCCAAAAAAATTTCTTCAAGTTTATTGCTCTGTTTGAGAACATTGTACTCAGCCTCGAAGATCGTTGATCGATATTCAATATTTCAACAATGGCGATACTCTCTCTTATCGAATTCGGCCATAATGATCCAAATATTACATTCTACATCTGTCGTAGTTGCCAAACCCACATTGCCTTGGGCAAAGCCTTCATCTTCAATTACTCTGTAACACTCTCTCTCTCTCTCTCTCTCTCTCTCTCTGTATTTTTGTGTGTATGTGTGCTTTGTATTAAATATTAATGGTTTTCGATGTGATTTTCAGGTGGAAGGGGTGCATGCAGGTGTCTTTGCCAAAGTGTAAGATCTCATTACTAAAATCATTTTGTCTGGATTCTTGAATGAGTGAACTTGATTATAACTGAATACATTGTTACTATAAGATGCTAATTTCTTATTTATGTCCCATTTTACAACTTATTTTAACTGGATTTTTTAAGTAAAAAGTAATTTCACAAAGAAATAAAAAAAAAAAAAATCTCTCTGTGAAGAACTACTACTAAATTTGGGAAAATTGTTATTGATTCAGTCTACCTAAATCTCTATGAACAAATTAAATCTTGGGTATAAAAACTTCTTGGGTACTGCTCTAATCATATTACTAACCATTACTATACTTGAACCTTATGCTCAATTTCATCATCTTCTTCCTCTTCTACCTTTCGTTCAATACGCCAACTTAATCAGTCTTATGTACAGTGTCAATGTGCATACGCTCAATGCTCCGGCTCCCCAGAGGCAGCTTGTTCCTTACACTATAGCAGACCTTTACTGTATGAAATGCAGGGATCATTTGGGCTGGAAATTTGTAAGATGCTTACTTTCTCCTTCTGAGATCTCTCTCTGTTATACAATACTTAGCAACTCATGCTTACTGAAAACAAAAATTTTTTCAGGTTGTAATCCCTCCGGATGATCTGGTTATCACCGAAGAAATGGTGCAACTATTTCTGTGAGTTCTTATATGGGTACATTACTATTATCATGGGTGGCGCCCAGTGTTTTTTATGAGTTCTTATAGTGTTTCTGAAAATTTGTTGGCAGGCCGAAGCTCTGGTATTGGAATGGAAACTCTATACTTGATGCAGAGATATGGGAGCCAGTACCTGAGGATGACTAATTTTGGCTCAAGGACAGTCAGTAGTAAGGAAATCAATCAACCAAAGGGCGCGGTTGAGATTTACTGAATATGAGATTTAGTTGCACAGAATTCACATTCATACGTATTGCTTTTTGTTCCAAGTTCTGGTTTAATGGTTTCTTTGATTTGAATCATAGCTATCTTCAGTCTGATGAGAGATGCAAACTTGTTATTGTTGCTGCTGCTAGTAGGGACATAAGATAAACTCTAGCTTAGTATATTAAAGTACATAGAGTCTTTTTTCCTATAGCATAAAACAGTATTGCCTGATGGATTTGAGCAGTTTAATTTCATTTCAATCTTGTTTGTCCAAAATTTCTTGAAGAGACCCTAGTTGAAGGCAAATTGATTCTACCAGGATTGCTAATCTTGCACTCTTATGCGATCCCTATAACAAAATCTATTGCTTTATTCTGTTTCATTCTGTGGGTGCATCTATGATGGTGTCGAACAGAATTATAACCACAATATTTGGTTGGACTGACAAAAAATAGTCAGAGCTCAAGTTTTCAGTTTCACCTTGCATATAGACTCAGCCCTGAACTTCCAAGCGAGTTATAAAAGATGGCTGCATTATTTACAGCAGAATAATGTTGATTGTGGGGCGTGTTCAATCCAAAAATATAAGATCTAGTTAGGCCTACTCCAGTCACATGAAGACAATTTGATAAAATCTCAGTTTTGAGAACCCAAAAGGATTAGCCAAGCCGACTTCCAAAGTTTCCCCGACATTGCCCCCTGAATGATAGTCCAGAATGTCTCTGCAAACTTCAACTTGCATGATTAACTAAGATAGGTGTAATGAACATACATTTTCATCCCAGAGATTGGTGAAACCACCAAGCAATCATCAACAAAGCCTTCTTCATCTGCTGCCGCTTCTTTTACTAGCCCACTGCTTTTCGGCAGGCTAACATCCACCGGAAGAAAGAGATACATAGTCACCATAATCTTCCTAACATAAAACTCTAGATATGCCCTTAAAAGGAAGGAGAGCGTCAATATAACCTCTCCCATTAGTTAGTTTTTGTATCAATAAATAATAGAGCAGCAGCAGGAGTAAAATCTTTGTCCTTAAGACTGCAAATGATAAGTAAGGGAAGTCAAGAAGGATGGAAGAATGGAGGTCTAGGCATCTCTGACCGCACTTTTTTTGAGTTCGGATCAAAGACTTTGTACCGCAGGGTTAGTAGATCACCTATACCTAAATAGGAGAGAACATAAAGCTTTTCAGCTACCTCTACTACCAACCAATTAACCTTTGCAGCTTTAAGTGCACATAGAGCATTACCAATTCGGAACTATTCTATGTCCAGGGTGCAATATTGAAAATAATTTCAGAGGTTTTCTGTGACTTTGTCCATGTCTGCTATCCGAAATATCCAATGGCAAGATCAAGCAACTCAAACTCTGGACTAATTCATGATTCAATATGATTCATAACCAAACATATGCAGGATGAAAAGTTAGGCAGGCCACAGTCAATTACAGTAAATGGTGCATGCAATGGCATATGTAGCAACCAAAAAGCTGAATGTTAAACTTAAGGATATTCATGATGGAAAAGACATTGTTCCCCAAGGACAGATGATTCTATGAAAAATTTTCCATGAATTTTTCTTTATTTTGCATGGATATTATGACGGCTGTGTCAGGCTTTAAGTGATGCACCTACTTTAACAAGCTCCTCAAGTGCCTTCCAGATCTGCACCTCCTCTAAGCCTTCCAAAGGTATTCCCCTTTCCATACCCATATCTGTTTACCAAGCAAAAGATGGAAAGGGGATTACACATGGATCATTGAAAGAAAATCAGAGCAAGATTGATGAACCAATTAAGAAAACAATACCCTGCTTTGGCTACCGGTGGCATATACTTAAGTTAATGGGCATTGTTCCTATCCACAAAAACCACCAACATTCTACAACCTTCAAGAGGGATGATACCCTTCCAGTTACAAAACCCGCTTAATTGCTAGCAGCCGTGTTTAAAACTAAAATTTTCAACAGGTACCTCAGTAAACACAAGTAAGATATCTTTTCATGTCATACTGTAAATGCCTTGATATTCATTACCCAATCTCACAAAAAGTCCTGGGCACCACAGCTTCTCATTTCAGTAATTGTCAATCTGAAAGTGAAAACCTGCGGGAAAATTCCTTGACCTTTCACTTATTATCCCTCTTGGCATAGAAAAGAACTTGCTAATTACCGGGGAAATTAGTTGGAAGAAATGAAAACTCCACAACACAATCTACAACTAAAATTCAACAGTCACGATCCCACTTAGTACCGTAGCTTTGCGGTTGAATCTGACAATTCAAATTAGAACTATTTTTCTAATTTATTGAGGAATGCGAGAGTTAAAAACAGATCAAACTAGAGATAAAAGCAACAGTAAAACTGTTAATTACCGTATCTTGCCCAGAGCTGAGGCTGGATCCCACTTGCCTCACGGACCAAAATTGGGAGTTTAGGGTTCAATATCTTCAGATCCTTGTAATTTCTCTCAATGAATGTTCTGTGAAAGAAATATCATCACCTGGATAAAAGAAATAGACAAATCGATAACAAAGGAGAAAAGGGAGAAAGCAAGAAGGAAGACCTGGCTGACATACTCGCCGGTGAGCTAGGGCAGAAGAGGATTCGAAGTTCCTTCAGATTCCGAGAGAGATGTCCTCTCCACGCCATTGTGTCACACTGACCTTCTTCCCCTGCTCTGCGATCCCCAGCTATTAAAGAGCCGACAACGGGCCGGGCTAAGCCAGATTTTGTGGCCCAAGTTCGGACTAGCCCATCAGAAATTCTGAGGCCCACAGGTCCTACTTCTTCCGCTCCTCCTTTTCTATGTTTTCCTTATATTTGATTTTTGTGAAAATTGGAAGTGAGTCTTCGTACATGTACTTGTTTGGAGATAAGTCCTGTAAGAAAAATTATAAAGGACTAAATTCATATTTAAAATTATATGTAATGACTTAAGTCTACTTTTTTTTTATCTCAAAAATATACTTCCTTGAAAGGAAGTTAAATTATTTTCCTATTTTGTAAATTGTTATCATTTAATTCAATGTCAATTAAAATATGCCAATAAATTCTCCATCATAAATATAAAATTCAAATTCAAAGCTCTCTCTCTCTCTCTCTCTCTCTCTCTCTCTCTTTATATATATACTAGCAATACCCCGTGACTGAAGTCACTGAATATTAAACTATGACACTATGCGTGTATTGGACTGTGTGTGTACAGCTGGAGTGTATATATAATGTGTGTGTAGTGACTGTGTATTGGAGTATGTGTAGCTATGTGTTGTAGAGTATTTGTATTGAGTTTGTGAAATTTGAGAGGGAAAGTGTGTGAAATTTGGGGAGAAAAATATACCCTTCATAAGTTCAAACACCTAGCTATTTTATTATATAGATATATCAAATTCAAAGCTCTCTCTATATATATGTACACATTCTCTCTCTATCAAATTCAAAGCTCTCTCTCTCTCTCTCTATATATATATACACGCTAGTTTGTTATGGAGATGATGCAAGTATAGTGGCTTTTATATGATGGTGATGGTGGTGAGCGTTGTTGTGGAGGTGATGACAGTGTAATGGTTGGCGTTGCTTGGGAGGTGACGATGGTGTGATGGTGCTAGTGCTATGGTGAGGAAAGTGGTAGTCGAATATATATATAAATTCAAATTCATATTACTATTTTTTCTATTATGTTACTGTTTTTGTTGAGTATGTTACTGTTCATGTTACTATTATTTTGAACATGTTACTGTTTTTGTTGAACATGTTAGTACTATTATTTTACTAAATATTAATATTCAATGTTACTTTTTTTTTTTGTGTTTGATTATATTTATTTTTTGTGTTTGAATGATACTATTTTTGTGTTTGAATTTGAGAGGAATAATTATTGTTAAATATGTTAGAGTTTTTGTTAAGCATGTTACTATTTTTGTTGAACATGTTAATATTTTTGTTATTTTTTAAAAATATTAATATTGAATGTTTCAAATTTTTTTATGTTTAAATGTTACTATTTTTTTGTGTTTAAATGTATTATATTTTGTGTCCAAATGATAATTTTTTTTGTATTTGAATGTTCCTATTTTTTATTTTTAATGTTACTATATATATATATATATATATATATATGAGAGAGAGAAAAAATTTTAATGTTAGTAAAACTCTTAACTTATATATGGATATAGATAGATATGAGAGAAAAAAGATTTTAATATTAGTCAAACTCCTAAGATTTAGGAGTTTTTAATTTTTAATTTTATTTCACTTCTAAAGGGAAATGATAGTATGATAAAATTGACAAAAAATAGACTTCATAATAAATACGTTTCTTTGACGGACTTAAGTCCAAATAAGTCCATATAGGAGGACTGACCTCCAAATTTCCCTTGACTTTTTTAATTTAGATAACTTATGATCTGGGCTTGAACTTGAATACTCATGGATCTCAGATATTACGCACTATCTTCCATTGCTTGATTTGGCACTCTTCTCCATACTGGGGTTTTGTTATGGAAAAGCCATTCGTTCCTGGCTTTCCATATGTGTCATGGAATATATTCAATGAGTGATTAACCTTCCAAATTTCCTTTCGTTTTGGTCCCTTGAAAATGCTGAGCCATCTAGTCTTCAATTATTCTAATACTCTAACTCTTTATTTCAATTGCCAAGGGGAAGTTCTTCCAGATAGCATTAGTCCAAGAACATAACAAGAACATATGATCCATTGTCTCTTCTTCCTCATTGCATATAGAGCATATTGACATATGGTGTATTTTCCTTTTCCACAAGTTCAATCTTGTTGCTAGAGCTCCATTCCCCACCTTCCATGGGAAAGCTTGGATCTTTTTCGGTGCTTGATGCTCCATATGGTCCCCCATATCCACTTTGGTGGTTGGTAAGATGATGAAGGTCACTTTCTCTTTTGCTTTGTCTCAGCTATTCAGACTTGCAGGTTATTCCCACTTCTTGTCTTGTACATCCCCGCTGTGGTATGTGCCCATCTGACTTTGTCTTCTTGTTGTGTTTCACTCAAAGGTAGAGTAAAAATCTCCTTTGTTGTGTCCTGAGTGAAAATCTCTTGTATTAGATCCACATTCCATAACTGGACTGTGATCACTACTATTAGTCATGTTAGGTACACTTTCGTATCTTAGTACCCACGGGTCCTCCCAATAGTGGATTGAGCTCCCATCCCCATTCTAGAAAAGGTTCCCTTCGCCAGTAGGTATCTTCCTTCAAGTAAGTTTTTCCACATCCTTGCGTTGGAGTAAAATTAAAGATATGGGCTTATATTTAATAAATGTGAATTATTGGCTGATGATACCTCAAACAAGCCCTAGTTGTGAGCTCAGGAAAGACACGGGGAACTCAGAGAACCAGGGGTAGAGCTCCCATTGGGGAGATCGTAGCAGAATCGATCAAGAAACAACTGGATGATTGAGGAAATTGAGCTCAATGCATGAAACTCTCAACCAACCAAGATTCTCGCCTAAAATCAAGGAGGATCCCATGAATAATTGGCAAAGATCACGGCTGAAATCCCACAGAATAAGGAGCAGCCTTATAAATACTATGTAACGCCTCATCGAGAAAAAAGACCTGAGAAAAATCCTAATTAGACCATGCATTGGATTGTAATGCATTCGAGTAATCAATAGAAAAAGTAAGGGAACAAGAGCCTCCATTAGAGAGTGGATTAGCCGAGCTCCAGAGCCGGTGAATCACTATATTTCTACTGTTCAAATTTTCCTACCCCCTAAGAAACACTTCATCACTGTCACTATGAAGTTGGCAGCCTAGATTCATCTTTGTACCCACGCACTCTGTTCACTCACGTTAGTTTGCACGATCAGTTTGGCGCCGTCTGTGAGAACAATTGTTCCTGTTACAAATAAGCTGATATCTCAGTGACTGATAGTATCAACATGAAACATGAGCAGAAGTCAAACAAACCCACCTCGGATGCAGGATCAATAGGAAGCCACCAATGGCAGACAGCCCGAGAACGTCCTAGAGACTGATCCTCCCATGGGGAATCCCCCCACAAAAAATGAGATGGAGGCCCTTCGCCTCGTCAATCAATGCTTGTTAAAGCAAAACGAAAAGCTCTTGAAGCTCTTACAGTGCCCATAGGAGGCACGTTCAGCCCAAGAGGTCAGAACAGTCCCCGTCACAGGGATCAACAACACCTTGATCCACTCAGAGAAGACAACGAAGGAGGGGAGAACAACCAGACCTTGGGGCAGGTTCCCCAACTACCCCTAGGAATGGCCACAATAAAGAAGTGCAAAGTCAAAACCATGAAGGTGAAAGGAATGATGTCTTCCCTTATCAGCAGGAAAGAATGGAACAATATTGGGAGCAATGCTTCAAGGGTATCCAACAGGAGCTCAGTCACATGAAGGAAGCAGTCAAAAGTAAAGCTCCAGTTACAATGGACGCCTTGGTGCAGCAGACTGAATCTTCATTCACGGTTGGGGTGTTGCATTTTTCCCTCCCACTAAAGTTCAGGATGCCACAGATAGAGTCTTTTGATGGAACTAGGGACCCCATGGACCACCTCAATACTTATAAAAACCAGATGGAGTTGCACGGGTACTAGGACCACGTACGTTGTCGTGCCTTGGCCATCACCTTGAAGGGTTCAGCCTTGGCGTGGTTTAACAAGCTCCCCCCGGCCTCAATCTCTTCCTTCAAAGAACTTTTCATTTCCTTCGTATCCTACTTCATAGGGGCTCGGACCTATGGAAAGCCGAGCTATCACCTTTTGAATGTGACACAGGGACCACAGGAAAACCTCAGGTTTTATGTCCAAAGATTTAATTTGGAGTCGTTAAAGGTGGATGTCCCAGACGAAAAGTTTGCCATCACTGCCTTCATAGCTGTTCTAGGGGTGCAATCTAAAGATTTGTTGTTCTCTGTATCAAAAAATCTCCAAGCAAGCATGGCCGAGGTGCTTGCCAAAGCAGAGAAATATATAAACGGTGAAGAAGCTATTCTTTCTAAGGTAGGGAGCTCTTTCGCAAATAGAGATAATGGAAAGGAAGAGAAAAAGAGGAACCGAAGTCCCAGGAGAGAAAGGGAAAGAAACAGATCTCCAAAGAGAGATAGATCTCCTAGAAGAGATAAAGAGCGATCCCAAAAAAGAAGGGAGAATGTTAGGGACTATTTAGGACCCCCGCAGCCTGAACTACAGCCGATGTATGCACCTTAGTAATATACCCCTCTCACTGCAACAGTGTCCTAGATCTTGTACGAGGTGCAGAACGAGAAATTCCTAAGGTGGCCTCCACGAATGAAGGCAGATCCAGCTAAAAGAGACTCTACGAAGTATTGCGAGTATCATAGAGATCATGGCCATCACACCGACGATTGCATTCAGCTAAAGAAGGAGATCGAATTCTTGATCCAGATGGGGCAGTTACGACGATTTGTTGCCCATGACAACCAAAACAAGGCTCCACCACCACCAGCACCTCAGCAACAAGCCCCTGCATAGCACCAGCAACCCTTAGGGGAGATCAGAGTGATATCTGGAGGATTTGCAGGCGGTGGAGAATCCAATGCAGCCAGAAAAGCACACTTGCGCAGGATCAAAGCTGGCGAAGTGTTAGAAGTGCACACTATGTCCAAAATACCTTGACTGAGCACAACCATCACTTTTTTGAATTTAGACTTG